CGATTTTGATTTGGATTCGCCAACGGACTACAGTGCTTGCCTCCGTTCTGTTCAGAGGTTTCTCCTTGCTCATAGGTACAGTCGTGGCACACATAGGCGTGAAATATTTGATCCACGTATCAAATATCGTCTTAGCGCCACGTCATACATAATTCGCCCATTCTGCATGTTACATGAGCCTTGCGCAAGTGAAAGATAATGGAAGTCACATCGCCCTTGCGATGCGTAATGCAGAGTTCTAGAAAGCGAACATTTCGTAGTCTAGCATAACCTCGGCTAATAAATCCCTATCCAATGTGCACTCAATTAAGAGGGGTGTGGTTGTTACAAGTTGTCACCGGCGATTGCATTGGCACGTGATATGTATGTCCAGTCCATGGTGGCCAAATTGGGCGCAATGAGCAGAAGTTGCTTGGTCTACTTGGATTAACTCTACATTCATCACCATTGCAGTCGCCACTCTGACAGTGTTTACCACCCCAATGACGAGCATGACACGCAAGTCTAAGCGTCCAACAAAGGCAGACGTTACTTTTTCATGGCTGCCATTGCTACATTAATGGTGTGGGGTCAAAGTTGTTGTGTTTGGACATTTTCCATGGTGGGCGAAACGACAAGAAAGAGACCAAAGACTACCATGGGATGTTCAATCACTCCTATTTTGTGGGGTGGTTTTCCAAGCTTTTACTGGACGAAAGTGCAATTGAAAATGCTACCATCATTTTGGACAACGCAAAGTATCACAAGGGTTTTCCAGTTGGTACTCCAAAGTCAAAATGGAAAAAAGCTGACATGCAAGCAGCTTTCCTACAGTACAATATACCATTTCAGTCGGGCGATTTTGAAATCGTTTCGTTCGGTCACGCATTCCGTTTACGGGTGTATGAATGATGCGGAGGCCTCAGGGAGCTGGGTGAGAAATTTGCATTATACTTATGGGGGGATGAGTTCCCAATATGCCAGAATCTGACTAACTAATATCGCTAATAGTACAGTGGTGCCTAGTAGGCTAATGGTACTAGTGGTGCCTAGTAGGCACAGTGTTGGCACGGACAATTAAAACGTAAAAAAAGACGGTTTTTGCATTTAAACGGTGTTTAAACGCTTTTATTATTGCTATTTAATCGGGGTTTTAGGACTTCCTGCTATTTAAACGGCAGTTATTAAGGCTCTGTGAGTCACGGAGTCCGGGCGATCCCTAAAACGGGCGGTCATCATTTATCCGACTCCGCGCCCTGCTGACGCTGTCCTTGCATTATCAGTGTGACTCCGTCGGTCCTTCCTCCACATCATACGGATGCCACATCCTGTCGGTCGGAAACCGTGCAGCGCGCGGCAACACTTCACGAACACAGGCCGCATGGCCAACAAAACGCAAGCGTTTCTGAAATGTATGCACTGCACTAATGTTTCGGCACTCAGCGCTGTTTTAAACAGCGCTGAGTGCCGAAACTTTAGCAGGTGTACCGTCGCGATCACCTTATGACTGAAAAATGACTCTGGCAAGTAGACGCTTTGAAAATATCCATCAGCTCAACCTTGACGCCACGAAGGGCCGTCAGCTTCGTAGCTGACGACTCCTGAGTATACCTGGCCTAGAGCCCTTGACAACGTCCTGACAATATTTGGTCGGCGGGCCGGGCCTGGCGGCATTTTTTGCAACGTTTTGGCTATATAAAAAATATGGATTTTATTATTATTTAAAAAAATAGATTATATTTAAAACGTTTAAACACCGATTTAAACGCATTTACACGTTTTATTATTGCATTGTCCGTTAAAATGCCAACACTGGTAGGCAGTTAGCGGAAGTAGGCGAAGGGGACGAAATA